TACACATGTTGAATGAACGAGAGTAGACGTCGACCCGACGGCGGAGCGACTCCGCGGCCTCGGCGGCGCGGAAAGAAGAACGTACGCGGTTGCGAGGTGCAGGCTGTTGAACAGGAAGGGATGGAAGGGCCTGCGGAAGGAACGAGAACGGGCACGGACGCATCGTCCGGCGAATGCGCGAGTGGTGCGAGCGCGTCGGCGCGACCGACCTCTGAACCAACAAAATGTAAATTTATTTCTCGTAGCGCAGCAGAGCCTGTTAACACGGTAACACGCAATTTCTGTCGGCGCAATTAAAACGCGCTGCGACGTCGCTGCCGGCGCCGGTAGTAGCGCGTTGCGTCGGCGTCAGCTCGCGTGACCGTCCGCTCTGCGTTCCGCGCCGCCTCCATCCGCTCCCTCTCGCTCGCTCGCGGATCCCCGTCCACCACCCGTTCCCCTTTGCGGGAACATTAAAAAAAAATGGATGGAGATTAGGTGGGAATGGGAGGGCATCCCGAGAGTGGAGACGAGATTGTCTCGCGAGAGCGACGGGCAAATGCCGGGTCGCGGAATCGAGATGAGCAGCTCCGGGATTGTTAATTTAAAAAAATGTGGGGACACAGAAGCGAGCTTTCTTGGCCAGAATTTGATAAGCGTGTACAGCAGTCTTTCATTTCTCTTTCATTTATCACGCCAAAACCCGAGACGGACTTCTCGGGGCAGAAATTACGTCGGAAACGTCGTCGTGAGAAAATCCAACTTCTCCACATTGAGAGGAAAGTCCTCTATTATGAGATAGGCTTCTAATATGAGACAGCAGGTCTCCAACATACAAATTTAATCGCAAATCTTTATTCACGACGCTTACGCGATTTAACAGTGAATTTTCCGCTAAACGGATTTCACTCCAAGGGCAAGAAATTCGCGATGAAACCAATGGATGATGCCTATTAATTTAGCAAAATCTCCTGCTGTCTTATATTAGAAGCTTATCTCATAATAGGGGGCTTTGCTCTATACATATTAATATGAATAATTGTTAATGATTATTAATGACCTCTGCGTTAATTTCGTTGTAAAATTATTAGATTTCATCTCGACATACATCGAAGCGATAAAAGTTGACGAGGTCCGCGACTTTAGAACGCTCGCCGCGAGAGCGTGCGTAAATAATAAAAGCACCGAGTGAGATAGCAGGTTTCCAACATTCAAACGTAATGGCAAATCTTTATTCACAACGCTTACGCGATCTAACAGTGAATTTTCCACTAAACGGGTTCACTCCAAGGGCCATAAATTCGCGATGAAGCCAATAGATGGTGCCTATTAATTTAACAAAAACCCTGCTACCTTATATTAGGAGCTTATCTCATAATAGGGGACTTTGTTCTAAACATATTAATATGAACAATTATTAATGATTATTAATGACCTCTGCGTTAATTTCGTTGTAAAATTATTAGGTTTCGTCCCGACATACATCGAAGCGATAAAAGTTGACGAGGCCCGCGACTTTAGAACGCGCGAGAGAGTGCATAAATAATAAAAGCGCCGAGTGAGATAATCTTAAAATAACGTAACGCGGCCGATGACGTGGAACAGATGCGCGGCGCTGATGTGCGGCACAATTAATACGAACTACTGTCCGGTAGATTAAATCGCGCAATCAATCGTTAGATTATCGCGAAAGTAAATGGAGCGAATAGAGTGTAAAAAGTGGCAAAGACGGATGGCGCCCCGGGGGTAGTACGCATGTGAAGGAAGAATCGGGTAACTTATATGGCCGATGCACTCTGTGTATCGAGTTTAAAAACCGAATATCCACCTGTTTCTCCCTTGTAAATTTATTCGCAAAAGGATCATACCGTTTGTACTTTCCGGGCACTTTTTAATATACGTAATAGGAAAATGTTGCGAAATTGCTTTCAATATATAGAATATATATATATATGTGTATAACAGCGAGAATATAGGCGGCAACAGTCGTGGAAGAGGTCAAATTAATACGGCAGGAACCCGTTGCGTCTCTCCGGCAATATACTCGCGTTGTATCGCGCGGATGAAACGCGTTACAGAAACGAAGCAAAAATTCTCGCCGGCGAGAGAGAAGCCGGACGTAGCAGTTACGTTCGCGGGACTGTAAGTTAAAATAATTACGAAAAAGTACACCGTGGAGGATAAGCGCCGTATGAAAGTGGATAAAAGGTGAAAAAAGGTCGGGACGGATTAGAAGGGTGCATTAAAGGGAGGGAGCGCGACGGATGAGAAGAAACGAGAAACTCGCGTATGCTCTTAACGCGCGTATATGTTGGCGCGCATAAGATGTTTCCGTCAGATAGATTAAAAATATGAGAGATATGCAGAGCCGGAAGAAGCCGGGGGAGAGAGACAGTTAATCTTTCAGTGCGTCGAGCAATCGCGCGTGCAGAATATTCTAAGACATACGGTAATTGTCGTTTATTAGAAAGAATTTATTGGGAGTGTCCGTTCAAATTAGAAAATTGTATAGCTTTTATTTGAAAATAAAGACCACTCGGGCAAATCTTTTTGAAAATAACTTAAGATACGTACAGTAAAGATCCTAAGGCCGTATCGTAGATTCGGCCAATCAACGTCGAACTAGAACCAGTCTACGACCCTTGCGGTACTACCAATGCAGAACCGGCCTAATGTATTTATTTCTAAATATTTCGGATAAAATTACCTCCCGGAGCTCACGATTAAAATGATTTAAAAATGGTTATTTCTCTTTTAGAGAAGAAAACTCCTCAATTCTGCATATAAAAATCAGCATTTTTTTGCAAGTCTGCGAGTCAAAAAATATATGTTAACTCCCGTCAGAATATATAAGACCCGAGAAATCGTGGAAAAGGGGGAAAAAGGAGGAAGACAAAGCGAGCGAGCGCGGAGCAGAGGCAGAAAAAGAGACGGGTCGGACTTGTTTTTCTCCTTGCATGCCGCGTATACATCTTTCCGATGATTTTATGGACGTGGTAGGCGCGTAGTTGCGCCGCGTCCGTGGTGTAAGATGAACAGACGGGATAACACACGCCCGTCGGTGTGCCACAATGGCTCGGGCGTTATAACGAGAAAACAGGCGGCGGCGCGATACCCGCCGGGCTCCGTCGGCTGGCAGGGAAAATTCACTTTTACATGGTCGTATATTTCGCCGCGGTGACGCGCCTATCGGGCTTCGATCAACGCGCAATGGCTTTTTATTATTAACGCGCGCGCGGCACGTTTTACTATCTTTATGTCTTTAATCCGTCCGGCGAGGCGGCAACGCACGGGACACCGCTTGTTCGCCTCCCCTTTTTTTTATGACTCCCCGTGTATTATAAAGAGTGACGTTCTCATGGATATTGTATGCATTTAAGGGCTCGTAGTCAACGGTGGAATGGTCGCAGCTGATAAAAATGTCATCGGCGGCGACGATACCTCGCGAGATATAGAGACGACGGCGCGTCCCGCGATGCACGCTCGGGCTGTCGTTTAGAGAGAAAAAAAAGAAAGTTATTCAGCGAAAAGCGGAAGTAGCTACTCTACTCGATGAAACCGTCGGATGCACTTTGATATCTCTTCTTCTTTAATCGCCGACTTTTTCTTTTTCTCTAATACTCAACATAGACGAGATGTACATACAAACGTGCATACATCATACGTATGTACAGTACCGGCCAATAATACATCACCTTTCGATTTTTTGAGCATAACTAATTTTTAACTGGCGAGTGTGGCGCAGAGAAATGTGCGCTGCTTAGTAAACAAATGAACGAAAAGATCCGAGTTGAAGTCCACGGAATCTCCCGAAGGGAAGTGGCAACTACCGAGAGTATCTTGCCACACATACCCCTTTAGGGGGTACAGCCCTCCAGCTGGGAGGTTTCCTTCGGCAAGATTAGCAGCCTACCGAAGATAAAGTAAAAGCAAATGTTCAAAGTACCAGAACGAACTGGATAAAACAGGCTTTAAGAAAACCTAGAGGTGACATACTCTTGGCCGGTACTGTACGTACGAATACATATTTGTACCTTAAGGGGATGCTGGAGTGATTCTGCACTTTTGCACCTTTCTAACCTAAAAACTGTCAGTTCGCGGAATCATTTGTGAAATATATAAATTAAATGGCTTACGTCTATAGATCGAAAGCAGCTTGCTATTCCGGCCAAATGAAAGAACAATATGGCATCACTGAAACTAAGTTTGTAAGTCTAATAAGAAATAATAGTGAGCAACACATACATACAGTACATGTAATATGTGTGTTGCTCACTATTATTTTTTATTAGACTTACAAACTTAGTGTCAGTGATGTCATATTGTTCTTTAATCTAGCCGGAATAGCAAGCTGCTTTCGATCATCTGTACACGTGCCATTTAATTTGTGTATTACACAAATCTTTCCACGAAACAGACAGTTTTAAGTGCAAAAGGTGCGAAAGTGCAGAATCACTCCAGCATCCCCTTAAACTTGGATGAGGGAGTCGCTTACCTTTCGGAGGATTGACGTGCAGCGCGGACCTGTACAAGCTCTCCTCGTCCCTCCAGTCGGCATTCCTCACGAGCGTTTTCGCCGACATGACGCCGATGAGGATCGCGGTCCCCAGCAGCACCGCTCTGCCGCGCGTCCTGGAGCCGTTTCGCCTCGCTATCCGGTAGCAGCCAGATACCGCGGCGCCGACCGCCAGACAGGCCCCCACGCTGGGCAGGTACAGTATCCTCTCGGCTAGAACGAAGCCCACGTAGAAGAAGAGATTGCTCGCCGGCAGGAACGGGAGCACGAGGAAGCCCAGGGAGACGGCGACGGCGGTGGCCGCGGTTTGCCGGCCGCCGCCGCTGCCGCCGACGTTGATGCCGTTCGCGCCGCCGTAGCCGTTCGCCCTCTTGGCACAGTGACAATCGCCGAGCGGACTGTTGTTGTTGTTGTTGGCCGCCCGGCAGCCGTCCGTGTGGCAGCCGCCGGCACGTCTGCCGGCGCACACGGGACACCTGGACGACGCCGAGCGTGGATACGCCTGCTGGAGCGGCGGCCGTCGCAGACCCCTGACGGCCCAGAACGTCGCGCCGATCAGGACGGCGTACAGGCACACGGATTCCAGATTCCGCGGGTCCAGCGGGCTCGTTATGCGCGGCACGGCGTCCATCGACCAGTCGAAGCTCAGCGTGCTCGGGCAGAGCAGCATTCTCGCGCTGGCCGCCGGCAGATACAGGAACGTCAGGCCGCGCGTCAGCCGCGACGGATGCCGCGCCGCCGGATTGTCAGCGCTCGCGAACTCCGGCCTGCTGCCCGCGAGCCTCAGCCGGCCCAGCGCGAGGAGCGCGAGGCCGCCCGACAGAATGCCGACGCTCCGGCCCCGGGTGAAGCCGCAGTTGCCCTGAAATTCAACGGACGACGGGTATGGCGTTACTCGTATAGCTCGACGTGCCCGGAGTTCGGTTTAAACTGGGTCAAACGCGCCGCGCACGCGACAGACAGGTGTAAGAAACTACGCTTCATCTCTAGTGGGACTTGCGACCGCTGGAATCAAACATTTAAGTTTCGTCGCTTAAAATATATCGGAAAGATATCTATAAATTCTCAGAGATATCATCTCTCGAAAAGTCAATCGGTGGATTATCACCGAAGACAGTGATTAGTCACGGATTTGTAGTTACAAGTACAGTCTTGGCCAAAAATTTTTGCCACCTATGTGAAAAACTTCAGTAACTTTAAATTATTTTACATTCAGAAATAAACAACACCAGTTGACGAAAAGGGAAATATTTATTGCCGACACGTAACAATAACGAAATAGTTGGTTAGAGTCAAAAGAAGTTACATTTCTAAGAATTGAGGGGGGTGGCAAGTACTTTTGGCCAAGGCTGTATACTACTGTAAATCAGTGACTATTGACTGTTTTCAGTGATAATCCACTGATTGACTTTTAAAGAGATTGGGTTGTATTTGATTCGAGTCTCAGATATACTTTGCTGTGTGATGACTTGGGGTGTTTCAGCAGTACACGATTCAATTATAGATTTTAACTGAATTACATATACATACACATAATATAAAACCGGAGTAGGTTTCTCCAGATAGATTTTTACAGCTGTTTGAGAGTCGCTTCGTAGCACACTTTTTCCGCCGTAATAAAGAGAATAGGCGTCATAGATTTAAAACACGTAACTACGAGATGGCATGCGAGCGCGCGCTCTGTGTCGCGACACACGTGCGCGAGCGTGACACGACTACACGTATACGGAAATAAAAGTAGTGCAGAAATGCATTACGAGGTATCTCGGGAAATATGATACTGTAATAACGCGAACGCGACGGCATTCCCGTTGTCAGTTCATCGGCTATACGGTGTTGTTTTCGTATTGTTACGTGCTCTTTTTTTCTCATGAATAAGCAGAAAGGGAAAAGGGGCGAATTGGAAAAGTCTTCACAGGTTGCCGGGGCGATGTTTGCTTCGGTGAACGCGGCATTGCATCCGACCGGAAGGTAGTTTCGGTCGGATGGAAAGGAGAAAATCGCTTGTCCGACGAATCGGTGAACAAGACGGGGTCTCGCTATACAATGCTCGTGTTGACGAAACGCGAAGGGATAACGGCCGCTTTGCCGCGCCCTGCGCCCTTCATCGTTCGCGGTGGACAAGCGAAATGTTTATTTAAGATTGGCGGAACGCTGGTTCTTTACGTTACGGAAAATCCGGTTTTCCAGCGAGATCGTAAAGCGAAAATAATTTTAATCACTTGGGCCGGTATTTATAGTCGAATCTTATATTCGAGACCGTCTTGGATTTATCTAAAGATTTAAAAAAAGATTCACAGATAAATTTTATATCGCCAGTAGTTAAAAAGCAACGACATCCAATTTTAACGACCTACACTGGCCAATGTTTTTATCTTAAAAAGCAAAACACGTTACAACGTTTCGGTCTCAGATTTGGACCCTTATCAAGTAATCTGAAATCATATACAATAACTCAAGGAGGTAACCACTTCGTGTAATCGTGGGACAGTGTCTCCGAAATCATTATGAAATCCTTACGAAATCCCCGTGTAATCGTTTCGTCTTAATTTTCAAGTTTCTTCACTCGTTAGGCAATAAACATTAAATTTCAACATTTTCTCAGCCTGTTTTCATTTCCTAAAAAAATTTACTCCTTTTAGTGAATAATATACTAATAATATAATAATATTGTTGGAATAACAGCAAGTTCAAACGTTGATACACCTTTGCGCGCAAATTTGGAACAGTAAACAGTAAATACAGATACAACATTACTTTTCGTTAAGACCACGGTTAGACTTAGTGGGAAAAGTGGGAAGCAAGGAAACACGTGACCGAATACTACAATCCTAATTGAAATTACCTCTACAAGCAAATACTTCTTAGTAAAGTAAGAAAAATATATTTTGAGGAAATCTAACAGCTCTTTGCGGTGTAACAACGTTACATATTTTTAAACGTGCGTATAAGAAAATGATTTGCAATTAGATGAGATTGTTTGTAATCTGATGAAATCGTATGAAATCATATGAAATCAAATGAAATCGTGTAATCGGTGGGACAACATTTTAGCCAGTGGTTATCCCCTTGCAATAACTCTGCACGAACATTGCTTAATAAAATAATTACAACGAAAACAAATCACAAAAATTCATACCTGTAACAAACTGAGTAATATGATAATTATACAATATCATCGAGCCGTACAATGAAGCAATAAAGCATGGAGAAAAGGTTCGAAAAATCAATTGGGAAATTACAGCAAGATTGAAAGACGTGATCTGAATGACTGTAGGGGCCGCGTATTGGTCATTTAATAAATAATCGATACACTCATTCGATAGATGGACGCGGCGCGTATTAGATAACAGAGATTTATTATTGTAAACCCACGGAAAATGGAAAATATCACAGAACACGGTCTCTAAATTATATTATTAGATTATATTGAACTATATACGAAATTCGTGTGCGCGAAGAGTCTTGATGAAATTTCCGTCCGCAGTAACCGCGGCTGGAAATGCGATTCGAAAGTTACACAGACAGTCGGATCAGGGTGAAATAATAGTTTGCGGTGAATTTATAATTCACGTTAAGCACGATTACACTCTTCGCCGTGTGCCGAGACACTCGTCTCGTATCTCGGACTGGAATGGGAACTGGCGCAAAGTGTGCCACAAAGTTCGTTAAAAAAGTTAGCTGACGCGAAATTGAATGCCACGTCGTCGTGTTTAAGGACGGTGTCGCGCGCGCTCGCGCGCATTTTACTGCACGTTGCTTCCGGTACGCCTTATTACTTCGCATTACCCTTTCTCTGTTCGACTCCGCTCCTCCCTTTCTCTATTCCAATTTTGTATTATTCCGAAGTTTCTTGCCGCGCCGCGAGTTCGAGCGTCGCAAAAGAGAGGAGACGCTACACGGCAAGATTTGTCGAGGCACGGCCGTGAATAGTTTAAAGCTCGCCTTAATAAACGAACGATACGTCGCGCTCCGTGCAAACTTCCGCCAAGTTCGTTACAGCCGTAAGATGTAATTTTCCGGACGATGCGAGGCGGGTTACGGCGTGGCGCGACGCGGCGCGGCGGGGCGGCTGCATCCGCGCGGCGCCAGTGGCTCCGTAACCGCTAATTCCGCACGCCGAAACTTTTGCTATAAAGACTTTCTGTGACAGCGACAATTATCCGTATTACGTACAATAAGGCACTCCGCATGTTTCGCGAAGACAGTGCAATATTACACGGTTAAATGTTAATTTATTCAGCGACGGTCGTCCCGGGGAATCGATCGTTAAACGTCTGGAAAGTTTCCGGTGACGAATTACATTTTCTTTATTCCGCATAACAGATCGTACTGCCCGAACGTTCGTTCCGTGATTTAATAAACAATAAAAAAAACGCTCGTGTCACATTCTACACAAATAAATTATATCAAACGCGGTAAATTCGCCGTTGGTTTGCATCAAATTTAAATGCCGCTGTAACTTGCGTATAAAAAAAACCAGAAGAAACGTAATCGCGCATTTAAATTCCAAATGTTTCGATAATCCGAATACGCTCTCGCGTCCGGATATACTGGAGTTAGTTTAGATTACCGAGGCTGCGCCATAATTGCCGTAATTCCATCACTTATCGCGGATTTTCTGTTTCGCGACGATATTGTTTTATCTCCGGTGAAACCGGCCAACGAAGCATCCAAAAGGAAACAAACGTCACAGAGCCGGATTTAACGTCGCGGCGATATTTCACGGAGGGGATACCCAGCCGGGCTGTTCGATACTCTCGCTGAATCGATAATCTGAAAACCAGATTTTTCCAATTACTTCGCGATCGTTCCGGACAGTTCGATCGTAACTTAATAAATTTCCGCCCTCCGCCCTTCGCACGCTTTCCGCGTCCATCCCGCTTCTAGTTCTCATCTGCCGAACGTCACGTCTCGTTTGTCTCGCCGGATCCCGGCTGCAGCTCTACCGCCGTTCCACGCATATTTCCGCGCGGCCGGACAAAGCGGGCAGAAAACGAGGAAGAGTAAGTACCATTGCTAACGCCGGTGACGTTTTCCGCTGTCGAATAGCGGGACACTTCCGTTTTGGATCTTGTTACTCGCGCGAAAAGAACTGCGATCTTTCGACAATCGTGTGTCGCGCCACATCAAATTTTGTCACCATAAGGGACAGCAATTAAAAGGGTTACAAGCAATTTTATTGAACTTGTAAATTTGGCAGGAAAAATGTACGATCAAAAAATTTCCAGGTCTCAAAAAACGACCTCTGCCGGCCGTTTAATCCGCCATTGAAGCATGTATCGCACTCGACCGCGGGGGTTTTTTTTCATGGGGGAAACTGCGCGAAACGGTTTACGCTCGACGGTGGATACCTCGAGTCGGGCGAAAAAGCGGAGGAAGCCGCATGAGGGATGCAGTCGACGGCGCGAGCAGTGCGGACGAGAGGGAAATATAATAAGAGGAGAAATATAAATGGGGGGGGGGTGAGAAGGGGGAAGGAGGAGAGCAAAGAACGAAAAGAACGAAAGGGACGTGTAGAAGCCTTCAGAGTCGCTCGGAGGGGCGTCGGAAAATGCGAGCGATCCTCTTGGCACCCCTCCAGCCGCGGCGCAGATAGGGGGAGAAACGGGCGCACGTCATGCATCACGCGAGGCGTCCGGTGCATCCAGCGCATCCGGATGCGCCGCGCGCGAAAGGAGATGGCGAACGGCGTATAGGGTTTTGGGGATCGCGCGCGGCGGGAACGGCAGGGGTAGGGTAGGGTGTGAGTGACGACAGTAGGCGCCTAAACGCGGAGGCTGGAGAAAGGGCGGCTTACCGCGTGTGCGCGCATCAGTTCGCTGTCTACGCCAGGATGCAGGCAAGATGCGGCGCATTGCAACGGCACTGCGTTATCGGTTACACGCTTCCCCGAGTCCGTACGTGCGCGCGCGGCGTGCCTGTCTTCCGCCTTGTTTCCCTGTCGAAACTTTCACGCTCCACGAAACGAGACGCGCGGATAAACGACGACGCGGCGTTCTCGCGCGTGGCAATCGCGGAAATCGTGCGGCGCGTCCGCAAACTGATATCGATTCGCGAAATCCCGTTCTACCCCGGATAGTTCCGCCGTGTGTAGTTAGAGATACCGTTATCCGTGCCTATGTTCTTGACGCCTTTGAACCCGCTTACTTAATATCTCAAGAGGGCAACCACTTCGTGTAATCGTGGGACAGCGTCCCCGAAACCGTAATGAAATCCTCACCAATTCCCCGTGTAATCGTCTCGTCTTAATTTTCAAGTTTCTTCACTTGTTAGACAATAAACGTTAAATTTGAACATTTTCTCAGCCTGTTTTCATTTTCCCCCAAAATTTACTTATTTTATCGAATAGTATAATAATAATATAATGATATAATAAGATCGTTGGAACAACAGCGAGTTGAAACGTGGATACACTTTTGCGCGCAACTTTGGAACAGTAAACAGTAAATACAGATGCAAAATTACTTTTCGTTAAGACCACGGTTAGACTAGTGGGAAAAGTGGGATGCAAGGAAACACGTGACCGAATGCTACAATCTTAACTGAAATTACCTCTGCGAGCAAACACTTAGTAAAATAAGAAAAATATTTTGAGAAAATCTAACAGCTCTTTGAGGTGTAACAACGTTACATATTTTTACACGCGCATATAAGAAAATTATTTGCGATTAGACGAGATTATTTGTAATCGGATGAAATCGTGTAATCGGTGGGACAACATTTCAGCCAGTGGCTACCCCCTTGTAATATCTTGTACGCATACGTCATGTATCACATGTTGTACAGTTACATCACTGCGAGCGAAGCATAACGACGTATAAAACCTTACTGATATTTGCTTGAATCCGCCATTCTCTTGCAATTAGCGCGACGATAATCCGCGGTTGTATGTAAATCAGAGCGAATCCATTAAGCATTGAAAGAACTCGGACGGGCGAGACTCGTAACTTTTTGTCGAGGCAATTTCACATTTCTAATGAATCCCAAATTACTTGATATCTCGCCCGCGACATCCTGACTCAGCTGTCGCAAATCCGGCACAGTACAATGGAAATACTCGATACTGCTGAACTAGATAATATCGTGCCACTTACCTTTCGACTTGGCTCGCCTCGGCAAAGTTCCCACAGAAGGCAGAGGGCCAGGGACGATATGCCCGTTTCCTTGGCGAGGGTGGCCAGCGTCGACGACACCAGGGCCAGCAGCAGGGGAAACGGCGATCTCGTGCGATTACAATGGGCCGAGTACGTCAGGAAAGATGTCAAGGTCAGGAAACAGGCAAGAAGGTCGGCACGTCCGACTATACCGGCCACAGCCTCACTGTGAATGGGATGGACCGCAAACAGGAAACCCGTGATCGCGTGCGCGAGATTGCTCCTTCCTGGTAGAACCTGCGGAGTGTAATTGCGGATATCTCGTAAGGTACATATGTAAATGTCTTGCGAGGTGATCCGCTGAGTGACGGGGAGTGGGGCAAATTAACTCCGACGTTAATTGACTCCACTCCGCCGCGAGGATCGCGCCTCATCGGAGCTTCGATTTAATTGCCTATCGGGCGAACGGCCGGCGATAACAAGCGTCTGGAGATATTAAAAATTAGAATTTACATTTTCATTTCGCGAACGAGTTTAATGGAGAATCACACAATTATCTGTAATAACATTTTGTCGTGACAAGTAACATGTATTGACGCGTCGAATTCAATACTGGGACATTAACGACAGGTAAAATGTGACAATCACGTTTATTTACACGAAAGGAAAGGGAATGAGACGCACGGATAAATATTTCGGTCGAGATATGAAAAAGGAACGTCAAATATGTAAAGACGTGGAGGAATGCAATTTGCAGTTTTATGCACGACGCTGGGTAATCGTCGGCAGCGGTCATTGACGAGGGTTATTCGAAAATTATACGATCCGATGCACATTTGCAATAAGGGGATAGAGAATACGGCGAGACGGACGGAATTCCGAGCAGGGAAATTGTATAAATGTCGTATATTTTTTCGACGCGCCAGCGGAAAACCGAAGGTGGCGACGAAGTGGCTCGGAAGGGAAACCGATCGGAATCGAGAAGGAGGAAACACCTCGCGCGGCGAGACGCCTCGCCAGAAATATTAACAGCATGCATAACTCAAAACGCTGCTCTCGAAGTACGAGAAGTACTTTCATTAATACACTTAGACGCAGTTAATTAGCGCGACAGTTTCATTACACGGGAAAGTGCTGTGTGTATTAAATTAACGCGGCTCCTCGTACTTGCCACTTCCTCATGCTCATAATAACGCGCTAAAACGATTTCAGTTGCTAATGAACTTATAAAACGGTACGCAACTGGGATATTACTGCTTATTTTCACGATTCCAAGAAATGCGCCAAGTATCCTCGCTACCCGATCGCTCATCCGGGCGTAACGTGTTATTCTCGACTAAGGGAATATATTTCGCGCGGGCGAGCGATGCGACGCAATGAAATTGTTGTTATCAACTGTCATTATTCTACTCTGGGTTCCCATATAACAATATAAAAGCCTATTCTGCGCTCACCTCTGACATATTTGCTATACGAAATATGACAATAGCCGTGAAATCCGTCACGTGTACAGTGAACTTTGCGTGAGAAATATTTGAAAATTGCCCTGGTGACCTTACACGAATTCTCGACGTAAAAATATTGCCTGTCAATCCGAATATCATCACATTACGTCGACGTCATCGTCGACTGTCTGAGGTGCAAAAAAATAATCAGCGCGATATTCCTGATATTCTATCGTGCGATATATGGTACGTGAAAATCAATCCCTGAGAGTCGGCCAATTTTTCGTTTTCGCTTTGTTACTCGCGAACAAAAGGAAATGGGACAAATGATGTAGAAAACATTTTAATGAGATTTATCTATAAGAAAATTGCATTTTAAGAATTATAAAGAAACAAGGTAAAACAGGGAAATATATTTTTAGTATTCCTATATACACTTTCAATATTTAGAATATACATGTTTATACCAGTACATATGTAACAGGATACATTTATAATACATGTTTTACTTAACTTTATTTATTTATAAAATTATGTGAAATACATTATCGTATAAAATTACATAAATAACCAGCTGAGTATTAACATGCATTGCAGGGATATAAATATTTGTATGTGATTTTATATAAATAAATAAGGTTGGGTAAAACACATATATTAATGCGTTATAAATGCATTTGCTAATGGCAGAAAAGTTATTTTTAAATAAGCAAAAGATACACCTAATGGCCTGAGAATTTCTTGCCGATTTAAAGAGGGAAGATTGCAGTGCCTTTTGTAGTCTTGTTTTCATATTTATGACTTGATTATATATTTTTGTTCTTAGTATACTATGTATCTGTCAATTTAACATTGCCCCATGCAGCTTCTTGTTTGCAAAACTCAATTAATTTCACGACTTCGTCCGATCGGCCAAAGTTTTCATTTTCTATTGTATGAAAGCCAACAAAATCCTTTATCAAATATAGAAATTTTTGACTTTGCTAGTGTGTGTACTAATATTACGTTTGACGCTGACCGCCACAGACCCGGCAACATTGAAACTTTGAGTTTGTTGTTTTCCTTTTGATCTTACCACTAGAATGGACTTATGTATAACAAATTGTTCGCAAACAGCAACTGAACAAATAGAAAATAACCGATCGCGAAGCGTTTATCAACAGCTTACAAATTGTTAATAAAGAACTCGCGATTGATTGTTATTTTTCATTTGTCCGATTGCTATTTGCGAGCAGCTTGTTACAAGTTTGCTAGGAGCGATAAAATCAAAAGGTGGGCCAGAGTCAACACTGACGTCGACCGTGTCCGATTTTTGCGAGTGTCCGAGAGTTAATCACGAATTTTTTGCACGCATTATTTGCGAATGGAGTTAAGGTTTGGGAGAACAATTCGCCATCATAGTTCGTGGAATGTTTTACAGCGAATACGCACCTTAAATAAAATATGAGCGACTTTTCGGCCGTGCACGTGAAAATACTGCCTGCATCGACGTGAAAATACTGCCCGCCAAAGTGAGTATCCTTAAGTTACGCGATAAATATTATCACCGAACGTCTCGGCTACGCAGGAAGTTAGACCACTCAATGTCGGCTTAGTATCACGTGTAATGTAGTTCGAACGAGTAACAGTACGAATATTAAAACTGCATTTCCATAAATAAGTTCGGAGAACGCCAGCTCGCGGAAGACCAACCGCGTCGTCTACGAGTGTGTCACGAATGTCGGCGAATAAAGCTAATAGCGAATTCGGTTGGTTGCACTAGCGCGCACTAAGTGCACACCAAGCCTTGTTTACAGTCAATTCTTGTATTTAAAGATCATCTTAAGTACCTCTTGCAATATTTCTTATCCGGAAAAATGGTCTGTACGACGTTTACATCGATCACTTTTTTACTAAATACTCTTTAAACATGTGTTTAAGACAAAGTGAAATATAAGAACTGACTATAAGCAAGCCTTAGTGTGCACCCAGTGCGCACTAGTACAAGCAACCGAATTCGCTGTAAGACTCCATAGATGCGGCAATGCGTGCGGCAACGCATGCGGCAATGCGAGTCGACCAATCAGGAGCTTGCCGCGAGCTGCCTGCGTTGAAATTAAAATCTTGCGATTCGTTGCCGCACGCGTTGCCGCAGTTCAGCGCGTTTATGGAGTCTTAACTTAAGCCTATTCCTGGCGGAATCTCCTCATTTTCCCGCGTCGCGTTTCTCTGTTGTTTCACATCTACACGGCGAATCACGTGAAAACTGCCAATTTGAGAGTATCCTTAAGTATCGTAGCACATGTTACCGCCAACGAATATCTCAGTTACGCGGAAAATTAGACCACTTTCAGTTTAATATCGCATATAATACGGTTCGAGCGAGAACATCTCCATAAACGAGTTATTCCCGGAAACGGCAGCTCGCGGAAAAGCTACCTGCGTCGTGTTACATCGAGGAACAAACCTAATCCTGCTAGAATCTGTTCATTCTCTCTCTCTCTCGGGCACCAATAATTTCGCTGTATTCGTTTAATTATTAAAAAAATCTTTTTCGAAAACTTTTTGCTGAAAACTTCTGGTTCGCTCCTAATTGGCACGAAACTTTATTGGCGCTGTGTACGCACCAAATTGATCAACAACATATTTTTACATAATTTAATAAAAGTATAATTAAGTTCGATGCACTTTAGGGAGCGCATCAGCCGAGCCTTGTTTAAATTAGCATACGCGTAATTAAATTTGATTTAAATTGATATAACTGTTATAATTGAATTTGATGTAATTTATTGCACGTGTAATTAAGTTGTACTTCACGTGACTTTTCAGAACGTCATTAAAACGCGCCGAAGTTAAATACTCGCAAAGTTAAACACAACGAAAGAGGTGATGTAAAATTAAAGTCTCATTAGGATGATAGGACCTCGTCGCGGCTCTTTTGACCCTCCGACGTATCCGGAAGTTCTATTTGAGATGTTCGCGTGTTACGCCGAATCGCCATTACAGTTCCCTTTCACGACCGCCCCATCGCCCCTTCCGGAATAACAGGAATCCCGAGCTAACTAAAACGAAGTGACGTCGTAAAATTAAAACCGCGCGGCAGGCTTATGGCAAAGTTAAACGGGCTCTCCCTCGTTATTTGAATTCTGCCGCCGACAATTCTCTGAGGATGTGCTCCGGCGCGTAGATAAAATAAGAAGGATCCCTTCGGTGGCTTTATTTCGGTTATAAAGCGAATCTAGGATTACTTCATAATTAGATGGATTCATAACGCGACTTTTAGCTGCGAAGCGAATTACGTTTCCTCCCAATTTTCCCCGACAAAACCGTGCAAATAAACGTCTTCTAGCAAGGACTGCGGTATAATCGATGAAAGAAGAATCAAGTTTATAAGCAGACGCCTTCTTGATTAATTGTCACTTACTTTGATGGCAGACAATTCACGTAAAATAAAGACAAAAGCAGTGGAGGTAAAATTTGTTCACGATTGGCTCCTCTTTGTTGGGTGTTGACGAGTTTCAAATAGACTCCGGACTTTACGTCAATTCTTCCTGACACGCTGATCTTTATACCGAAAGAGGCATACAGCACGGGTGTTAACGATAGTATTTCGGTATCGGACGGACGTTTAGGATTTTATTTCTGACAGCCACTGTATCGCTGAATATTATCAAAACTCCCGTATGATATGCGCTCTACAGGTGTCACCGTTAGCTCCTTTCTATCGCCTTGGCATAAAATCCATACGCTATTTGTCACGACACAATCGTTTCCCTGTTTGACGCGATCAAAATTGTCTAATTCCGTCCGCGGTGCGACGCGGCGTTGCAACGTCGCGTAATAAAATTCAAGATAATATCTTGGAGAAAAGGGGGATCGCTCACCTTCCTGGCGACCTTGACCACGAGAACGGTGCAGGCGGCGTGTAACGCTACGTTTACCAGATGGTAGCCCCAGGGCTCGAGGCCGCCCAGAAAATGATTCAGACGAAAGGTGGCCACGCAGAGCGGTCGATAGCTGCCGTGCGAGCCACGTTCCGTCAGCGGTGTTCCCCAGAAGTCATTCTCGAACAACCGGTACCAAGGCGTGCTCGCCAGCAGGTCAGGGTTCGTCAGGATGGCTCTCCTGCAGCAAAGAAATAACAGTCGATTATACTACTGGTGCCGTAGACCATAAAAATCATGTTATACTCGTACAGCAAGAATTTTATTTATATATTTGCCGGGTCGATTTAATTACGACTATAAATTATAATTTGATAAATTATTACATAACTAAGTATGAAATCATTAAATTATAGTAAAACCGTAATAATTAAAGGTGCATTATTGTTAAATATTAAAATATAATGCAATGATGAAAACTCGCGAGACCTGAATAGAATCTCCGTTTGAATTGGTGCGAATGATAATCCGGTTTGCGGACGCAAAAAAGTGAACTGGTTATGGAAATAGGAAAAATTGGCAAAATTGTTTTTTAGCGCGTTGCAATTCGCCGTGTAACTTAATCAGTGCATTGTAATAATGTAATCCGTATTAGGTTACCGGTGCGAGCCGTGTTAAAAACTGCGAGACAGCTATTATTATACCTAACGCAATTCGAGCCGCGGTTAAAAATAAAATAAGCCGTTTCTCTCTCAATTTGCCTATTTTTCCCGGCCATGCCGTGCAATTTAATACGGGACTTGCAACATTTCGGTCAGTTCATCGCGTTAACCGCATCAACCGAGGTTCTCGGGCCGAATGCCAACGACAAATCATTCGGGGTGGCATTTAATAAACCATTTTTATCTCGCGTCCATGAATTAATTACTTGGTTCGCGGACACACCATCTCATGTATGCGTGTATTAGTTGGCGGAAACAATTTTCGCCGCCCGTTATCGATCGTTCGTTTCCTATCAGCGTGTAAATATCAATGCATCGACGTATTCAGACCTTGTTTGAGTGTTTTGTTGTCGGGGAATAAAATTGAAAATTAATAAAGGGCATTATTTTTTTGATAGAATATTTAATAAAATAGCTATTACGTTAGATAACATTTTAATACGAACCGTTACTTCCGGCAGGGTGGGGGGGTTGAAAAAATAAATTGGAAAGCACGCGCGCGGAGATTGCAAGCTATAAATTTTTAAGTTACATATTAATATATTCCACACGTCGTTGCGCGAAGAAATCAAGTAACAGAGAAGTAAAAAATTCTTCAATGTGCTTTATCGAATCTTAAAAGCACGGACTTGCGGGTCACGAAATAAGTGTGGGTCAACGACAATGCAATTAGTTAAAATTGCCGTTTATATAGGGTACTCGTTATTATCGCCTACTTCGCCGGTGCGGCGAAGCAATCGTACGTGAGGATCACTTACACAAGTCGCCGTGTGCTAGCCTACGAAAACGGTTACGACGGCGATAGCGCTGCAGTGAAACGGCCTTATCGCCCGGCCTTATATCGTCGGTCGCACACTCACGTGTACATACGTACGTATATTTCCACGTGTAAGAACTGCAAAGTGTATTTCGAGCACTTCATGAATCTAAGAGCCATTGGTCGTTCTCGGGGGTTGGTGGTGGAACGACAACGACGTGGCCGCGCACGAGGATCGCAATGGTGCCGTTTGCCTAGCGCACTTTTGTCTCTTTATCGCGGCCTTAAATGCAGAAGCTATCGGTAGAGTGCTCTTCGAGATTATTCAATAATTCAGAAACGCCCATTTCTCATTAACGGTTCTCGTGAGTTGAATAAGTATGGATTTGGCACACGGAATGAGCGCATAGCGGTGTAAGCGAGAAAAAATGCGTGTAAGTGAAAAGGAGAGGGAGAGAGAGAGAGAGAGAAGAAAAATTTCAACGAAACGTGAGCACGTAAAAGTAATTTGTTCGAAGGCAGTAATACAAAGATCATGCTTTACATAGTGTAAAAGCAGGAGCCGTTTATCGGTGAAATTATTCGAGAGATTGCAACTTTTCGCAGTAATTTAGGTGTTTTACAATGCGAATATATATTTCACGGACTGATAAAAATATCTGATCGATTGAGAATATCCGATCGGCAGTTATTGAGTGTAAGTATATTTTATGAGACGACGATTATTCGCATGATGCGAACTGCGTTTTCGTGATTACACTTTTAATTAAAGCTGTGAGTAAACGTTGCGACAAAAAGAGCGCAATATAAGGAGATAATACTAAAATATCTTCTACAAAAATGTTGTGATAATTTTATATAATAGAAGTAAAATATCTTTTAAATGCGAAATCTTTTCAAGATTAATTTGTGGACTCAAAGTAAAATCATGGAAGACGATAGACGCAAAGAAAGCCCGCAATTACGATCGCGCTTTTATATTAAAGAATTCTTTCTTGACTCCGTGAAAGGACATAATTGAACCCTTACACGGCTAAATCCGTTTCTTCCCGCAGAGAAAGGAAGGAGATTACCACAACGACGATGTACAAGTGTCGCTTTCGTAAAATGAATAAAGCTAAACGATAACGTTTTACGCGGCTAAGTCTATTTATACTTCAAAGTCGCGCCGGAGAAAACGCTCCCGCTTACCTCGAAATCATTTCAATTGCCTCTTGGCGTCCTTTCGTTCCTGAAGAGATTTCGCGAAATTATACACGCGATACGTTCAATAATCCGTTATTTTCGCCGCCGCTTTCATCCAATTAACGCGGTCCTGCTGGACGCGCTGTAAAAAGATTTATAAGAAGCGCGCCATCGCGCTCGTTACGGCTCGTCGAACTTTTTCTTCCTCGGATCGCATAGACGATCCCTCGCCTCGGGCGAGGAAGGCGTTCTAATCGACGACCGATCAATATTCATGGGTATCGATGAACTCGATGTTTCGGTTCGTCTACGGATTCCGATACCAAAGGCTACACTCTAGATTGCATCGTCGAGTTGGCTTCGTCAATTTTGCGTCGCGTAATTTTCAGCACGATAGCTTAACGAGCGGCACGTCATTCAATACTATTCTTTTCGCTTCGAATATTATTTACGGTACACTTTTAAATTATATTACACCGGCGGCTTCTGATTTAATAAGCTGCCCGCGACGGCATCTCCGGAAGATGACAACTATTAACTTTTATAAACTTTGTATAGACACTTAGAAATACAACGTCATCTTCCATTAACAGATTTAATATTTTATTGTTGTACTGGATAAGTCTAACAATTTTTCAACGACTTTTTATTGTTTGTAAAATAGTATTTTTTTTTATCCGAGTGTATGAAATTCCGCGATCAAAGAATTCTCTCGCCTCTGTAAGAAATCGTACTCGATTCAATATTTTGTGTATTATCTCGCGCTTTCAACTTGGAAGCAGCCAACAAATTATGCTCGAGGCGACGAGAGATTCAACGCGCGACGATGCGAGATGTATGCGAATACGAGCATCGTTTGAAGAAACAATTATCGCCCATTGTTATTGCAAGGAAGAAGTAATTTCAAGTTAGCTATAGCGCTTTGATTTTTGGACATACAGATTTCGTGTGTAAATATCTGTCTTGCCGGTTAACCGAGCATCGATAGCGAATCGCGAGGATTCTACGATCGCGCGATATCGCCCGCTAATTATTCACAGAGAGCGATCGCGGTTTCTTCCCGTACTTTTCGCGAGCGCGTATCAAGGATAAAGGATCGTCTACAACAGATGAAGTAAGCCTGGCGTAAGTAAGAGTAGGAGTAAAGCAATGAATCATTTCCATTTCTTACTCCTACTTCAGCTCTGACGCTTACTCTCGGCGAATATATTAGAGCGCAGTTCGACCAGTGCTATAAATATTTCAAAAAATTATGCCTGTACTTTAGCTTTTACACTAATTGTAAGTAAAGGTTGTGGTTTTGTTACTTCTTACTGCTTACTTCCAATGTACACGGTCCTTAACGCGATATGCGGAGCAGCGCGGGCTGCTAACCCGTTCGACTGTCGCCGTGTGAATGATTTCGTACAATGAGAATGGACTGTTTTCGACCGACGTGTTTACGGCGCTACGTCATGTCTCGGAACCGACGCTCGGCGTTCGACGTCCGAAATTCCAAGATCAATAATCGACGAAATTTTTAACACCGAGCACATTTTTTAATTCGTAATTTTTTACTTAGTACGATATTAATTCGACTGAAGTAATTTGCAGACATAATTTGCAATAAGTAAAGAAATTTACACGCAAGTGTCACGCCATGCATGTTAGATATTGTATTCTGCATTTCAATTTTACCCGTTAGAATTCGTTTGAAGTTTTCTATAATATTTAATCACAATCGGAGACAATACAATTAACAAAATTACGCCACATTATCGAAACGCGATGTGATGGAGTTTAATGAATACAAATTATCGAAATGGAGTTTCTAATTATCGCAACTAAATTACCCGAATTTAAATATTTAAGCATTATAGCTTACAAATATATATACATGTACACACACACACATATACATAACATATTTCCTTTATTAATCCGCGAGTAAATTTCGCGCCGCGTTTGCACGGAAATTTCCGCAGAATTCGGGACGTCGCATAAAACGAGTGACACCAAATTACTTTCTTGTTAGTCGCTTCTGCACAATTCCCGCCGTTTCCCCGAATAATTTGTTATGCCGGAATGAGTTTGTCCGTAAAGCTGTGCCCGTCCTCGGGCGCGAGTAATCGAGATTGCGCGTCCTCGATGCTTTTTCGCTCGCGGAGCTTCCGGCCTCCCATTCGTTCGCCGCCCCGTACCGGCTGGCTTGTGTGTAATGAAAATTTGTAAAATCTCCCGACGGAAAGGCACGAACGACGGCCCCGGGCAGGGGGGGGGGGGGAAAGGGGGCGAGAGGAGGGTGCCATCAATTAATCCCCATTCATGCCGATTGCAGCATTCTGAAAATTCACGTCGAATTCGCCTCGTTTAGGAGTTATTTTTCTGACGCGGCGCTTCCCGATTTTCCGCCTCGTCTGAATCAAGGGGCGCCCAAGTAAGTCGGCTCCTCTCCACCTACACGTCCGCGCAATTCAATTCACGCGGGCAATCTCCGTCGCGGACCCTGAATTTTGACGTGACAGCCTGACGGAGTGACGCACGCGGGAGGGCGAACGGATGGGACAGAAATTTTGGAATGTTCCTATTGAAATGGGA